CTTATTTGTGCTGCTTTTCTTCATCTATAAAATGAGAGTAATAAAAATATCTATCCAATATACTAGTAAGAATTTAATAAAACAATCCTTGCAAAACTCAAGATACATAAGCTCTAGGGGTGATTATGAAGACACTTGACTACAGAAATCCAGGGCACCAATTAATCAAAACAGACATTAGTGATAAACAACCAGTAGTGCCCTGAAGGTGCATTCTGGCTAGACCTGCATTCTGAGGTCTGAATTGACATGTGCCCAATGTCAGTATTATCAGTGCTATAGAAACTGTCACCATTAATATCTCAGAAGGGCAAAGGGAGCTCAAATCAGGAAATGGATTAATCCTCTGGAAACCACAAAAAGAACCTCCCAGAATGGGTGAGATAGTGGGCCATCTGCTGAAAGCAAACATTTTCAGGGAGATTCATTTGGGAGATGTGGACCCAAGTCTCACCAGGGAACCTAGGCTGTGCTTGCAATGGAGAAACCACAGCTGTATCAAGCATATGCCTTCCCTGAATGAAAAAAGACCAAGTCCCTTGAGGAGGGCCCACAGGGTGAGAGTCTGGCTTTGATTTGGGAGATAGAAATGACTCTCAGAGAAGAGGCATCCTTGGAGTGCCTGTCCTCCATGGGGACCCTTAGCAACAACATTTTTTGGCAACCTCTAGGCCTGCCTAGACCACCAGAACCCTGGCTGGTGTGGATGATATCCCCACCCCCAACACCTTGTAGTGGACGCTTCCAGGAATTTGATCAGATTATCATAACAGACATTAGTGATAAACAACCAGTGCTGGCTGTGCTGATAAGATCTCTGGCTAACAGAGCAGAGGACAGACCTTAGGGTGCAATGTCCCCATGGTAGTGCCATCTCTCCCCAGTCCTAGGACATCTGTCAAAGCAGAGTTCCTTCTGAACTAATTTCCTGTAACAAGCTAGATAGGATTCAAAAAAGGGAGTATGGTTGGGATGTAGCTCAATCGTAAAGACTTGCCCACTAGCATGCTGAGGCCCTGGGTTCCATCCCCAGCACCACAAAAAGAAAAAAAAAAAAAGGAAAGCAAACACATCTCCAAGATAAAAATCAATGTTTCAGAGTCCATTTCAAACACACAGGAGCCCTTCTCCTTAGGCCAAATCAAGTTTCCCCAAGAAAAACTGAAACAATACAAATTAAGATGGAGCCCAATGGGCATGTTTTCAATACCAAGTAAAAGAGAAGGTGTGGATTTCAAAGCATCACACTCCTTCCTCTCCTTCTCAGAAAGCTATACTCCTCCATCTAAGCATTTATCTCAATCACAGGAGGTCAGATTTGTGGTGTCTTTCTCAATCAGATGGTGGGAGCCTGAGATGTTTTATCATTCTGGCCAGTGGCACACAGTAGTGTGTGTGTGTGTGTGTGTGTTACTGAGGATGGAGCACAGGGCCGCATGCATGCCAGGTAAGTGCTTCACCAGTGAGCTATCCCTATTTCTGTTTTTTTTTTTTTTTTTTTCTTTCTAAGTGCTAGGAATTAAACCCAGGGGTTCATGCATGCTAGGAAAGTGCCCCACTAACATGCTGTGTCTCCAGGCCCTCATTCCTATTTCTTTTTCTTTTTTTGTTTAATGTAACAGTTTTAAAAAATTAAGTTGTAGATGGACACAATATCTTTATTTTATTTATTTTTATATGGTGCTGAGTATCAAACCCAGTGCCTCTCACATGCCAGGCAAGTGCTGTATCACTGAGCCACAAACCCAGCCCCCCTATTCCTATTTTTAAAAACAGCTTTATTGAGATATAGTACACATACTATACAAATTCACCCTTTATTTATTTATTTCTGTGGTGCTGAGGATTGAATTCAGGGCCTCATACTAAGCACACATTCTATCACTAAGCTCCACCCACAGGCCATGCCCCCCCCTTTTTAAAAAATATATATATATATTTTAGTTGTAGATGGACACAATACCTTTTATTTTATTTATCTTTATGTGGTGCTGAGGATGGAATCCAGTGCCCCATGCATGCAAGGCAAGCACTCTACCACTGAGCCACACCCCCAGCCCCAGGCCATGCCGCTTTTTAAAGTCAGTTCTTTTCAGCTGAGCATGGTGATACACACCTGTAATTCCAGCAACTCAGAAGCCTAAGGCAGGAAACTTGGTAAGTCTGAGGCCTGTCTGGGCAACTTAGTAAGACTATCTCAACATAAAAAATAAAAAAGGGCTAGGTATGTAGCTCAATGGTAAAGTGTCTCCGGGTTCAATCTCTAGTTGTTTTCTTTTTTTAATTTTTTTTTTTTTAAATTTACTTTTTAGTTGTACACAATACCTTTATTTTGTTTATTTATTTTTATGTGGTGTTGAGGATCGAACCCAGGGCCTCGCACATGCCAAACGCTCTACTGCTGAGCCACAACCCCAGCCCCCCTAGTTGTTTTTTTAATTTAATTTTTTACCAATTTATTTATTTTTGTGGTACTGGGGATTGATCCCATGGGTGCTGTATCACTGAGCTACATTCTCAGTCCTTTTTATTTCTTTTTGGTACCAAGGAATGAACACAGGGTCTCTGAAACACTGAGTGCACCCCCACCCTTTTTTGTATTTTTACTTAAGGATAGGGTCTTGCTAAATTGCTGAGGCTATCTTTGAACTCACAATCCTCCTGCCTCAGCCTCCCGAGCCACTGTGATTACAGGATTACAGACGGGTACCACCAGACCTGATTTATTTATATTTTAAGATGGGGCTTCATTAGGTTGCCCATGCTAGCCTTGAATTCCTGGGCTGGAAAGATTCTCCTGCTACAGCTTCCCAAGCTATTGGGATTACAGGCATGTGCCCACCACACCTGGAAAAAAGTATTTAATTTTTGATGAAGTACAATTTATCTATTTTTCTTAGTCACTTGTACCTTTGGTTTCATATCTAAAAACCATTGCTTGCTGGGCTGTAGCTCAGTGGCAGAGCACTTGCCTAGTATGTGTGGGGCCCTGAGTTCAATCCTCAGCGGCACATAAAAATAAACAAAATAAAGGTATTGTATCCATCTAAAAATTTATAAAATAAAAAATTTTTAAAAATTGCCTAACTAAAGGTCACACAGGGTGTGTGTATGGGGGGCATTTTCCTCATGCATGCTGGGCAAGCGCTCTGCCACTGAACTCCATTCCCAGCTGCCTTTTTTATATATATATATATGTGGGCACAATATCTTTATTTTATTATTTTATTTATATGTGGTGCTGAGGATCAAACCCAGTGCCTCATGCATGATAGGTGAGTGCTCTACCACTGGGCCCCAACCCCAGCTCCAGCCCAGGCCTTTTTTTTTTTTTTAATGCAGAATCAAACCCAGGGCCTTGCACTTGCTAAGAACATCCTTTACCATTGAGCTACACCCCAGTGCCAGAGTTGCCTTTTTTTTTTTTTTTTTTTTTTTGATGTAGGTGTTACTGGGCATCGAACCCAGAGGCACTTTACCCTAAACTACACCCCAAACCCTGGCCACACCCATGCCAGACGATCGAGCGACCGCTTGAGCCACATCCCCAGCCCCCAAACCTTTTGTTTTTAAGACAAGATCTCATTAAATTGTTCAGGGTCTCCTAAATGCTGAGTATGTCTTTGAACTTGTGATCCTCCTGCTTCAGCCTCCTCAGTTGATGGGATTACAGGCCTGTACTACCAGGCTGGCCAGAGCTGCCTTTTAAAAACAAAACAAAACAAAAAAACAAGGATTGAACCCAGGGGGTGCTTAACCACTTAGCTACATCCAGTGCTTGCTCTCATTCTCTTTCTTTTAATATTTTTAGTTGTGGATGGACACAATACCTTTATTTTACTTTTATGTGCTGCTGAGAATTGAATCCAGTGCCTCACACATGATAGGCAAGCACTCTACTACAAGCCACAAGGCCAGCCCCTCTTTCCCCGTCAGCCTCCTGAGAAGCTCCTTTTATGAGCTCCTTTTCTCCTGGGATTACAGGTGTGCCTTTTTGGTGGTGCTGGGGAATGAACCCAGGGCCTTGTGCATGAGAGGCAAGCACTCTACCAACTGAGCTATATCCTCAGCCCTCGATCTGCCTTTTTTCTTTTTTTAATTTTTTAAGTTGTAATTGGACACAATACCTTTATTTTATTTATTTTTATGTGGTGCTGAGCATCGAAACCAGCACTCTACTGCTGAGCCACAACCCTAGCCCTCGAGCAGCCTTTTGAATGCAGTTCTCTACTCTGAGCAAATCACTCAGCAGGCCCCAAGCTATATCCCTGGCCACAGTGCCCAGTCCACACACCATATGCACATACAGGGCAGGCAGGTGTGAACAGGCATCCCGGCAATGCGTTTGAGACCAAGGCTTCGGGGTGAGGAAGCATCTCCTGGGGCCCACAGTGCGACCTACCTTAGCAGCAGCAGTTGGTTGGTACTTCAAGGAGGGGCTGGGCCATGGCTATCCTCCTTCAGTCCTCCATTGCTAGGGACTTGGATGGGTCCACCCTAGAAAAGGAGCTTGTAAAAAAACGACTTCCTACCAAACTTGCCTAATTGTGTCTCTACACTGTGTGCCACTATTAGAAACCCATGACTTCTCATAGCTCCTGCCCCTGAAGCCCTCGGAGATGCCTTTGGGAATCCAGGTTTGCCGACTGCCATCTCCATTGCTCTGGCTGTGTGTTGGTGGAGGTTAGATGGTGACCCATCAACAGTCGCCAGGGTAGGGAAGGGCTGTTCATATCTTTCAGTTGTGCAAAGTGCCACTTAAGGCCATATTCATTCACACGGTCGTCATTGGTTTTCCCCAAAGTCCAGAGAGAAGGACATCATCGGGGACATAGAATCCCACTCGGATTCACGCATTTCTGGTGTTTGTCACCTGCGCCCGCCAGGGCTGGGAGCACAGCACAGCAGGTGGATTCGGTCGCACTCCGCGGGCGGGGGCGGGGCCGAGCGATCCGGGGGCGGGGCGTCGGGCAGGAATGCGAGGCTCCACCCCCAGCATCCCGCGCTGCGGCGCGCCGAACTGCAGACCAGCGTCATGGCTGCTTCCAGACCGCCCCAGGTCCAGGAGCTGCTGGCCGAGGCCCGACGAGCCTTCCGCGAGGAGTTCGGGGCCGAGCCCGAGCTGGCCGTGTCGGCGCCGGGCCGCGTCAACCTCATCGGGGAACACACGGACTACAACCAGGGCCTGGTGTTGCCTATGGTGAGGAGCTGCGCAGGGGGAGCCCCGGGCCGGCTGCCCCGCCGCGGAGAAGGGCGGGCGGCTGGGGCTCAGGGACGCGCTCTCTCCCGCTGGAATGTGGGGCGGGCAGCGGAGTGGGAGTCGCGCACGCGGGAGACCCTGGGACAGACCGTTTTTCACGTGCGAAGAGAGAGAGACGCAGACAGGAGAGGGTATGCGGACACCTCTTCACCCAAGTCCGCCTTCTGGGGATTGCTGGTCCTGGACCTCAGCCGGGGGGAGTGTTCCCCTTCAAATTTGGGCCCTAAGTAGCAGGTAAAAGGGGAACACTTCCGGCTTCTGGCCTCGTTGAGGCCAAAACCATAGGCCTGGGCAAATGGAGCCCCTCAGCCTCTGGCCCAGCCCATTCCGGTTACGGAGGAGGAAGCCAACTCAGAAAGGGTTGGGGATCTGCTCAAGGTCTCACAGCTGGTTCTTGGTATGTGACCTTGAGTGTTACCTTCCAGCTCTTAACCTGGGCTCTCAGTCCCACCCTGCAGCTTGGGAAGTGAGTAGTTATAGCAAATCCATCCGCCTCCTTTTGGAGGTCATCCCCAAATGGGAAGGCGTGGAGCCCCTTTGATCCTGTTTTCCTTTTGAGCTAGCTCTCTCCCTCTTTCCCTGCAGCTGGGAGCCCTTGCTCAGGGCAGAGTCCAGGTTTGCATTCCTCCTGCTGCTGGCTCCACCTCTGAATACCCAGGGGCCTGAGCTCCAAGCCCCTAAGGCCAGCTCTGCACTCAGGCTCCTCCTTGAGCCACACCTCATTCTCTTCAAGTTGAGCTGGTTCCCTCCACCTCCCTGTGTGTCCCAGGGGGCAGAACCTTGGCTGGAGTCCTTGTAGTTGGAGGGTGTCTCTGGAGGGGCTTATTCCATTTGGTGGTATAAGCTCCACATACTCCTATCTCTTCTTTCAGGCATTGGAGCTGGTGACCCTGCTAGTAGGCAGCCCCCGAACAGATGGGCTTGTCTCTCTCCTCACCACCTCCAAAGATGCTGATGAGCCCCAGCGGCTGCAGTTTCCACTGCCCACAGTCCACCGGTCACTGGAGCCTGGGACTCCCCGATGGGCCAATTATGTCAAGGGAGTGATTCAGCACTACCCAGGTATGGGGCCCAGGCATGGGTCAAATTCATGCTGCCACTAGGATTGCAGATCAAATTTATGTTGCCAGTAGGATTGTCACCTCACAGCCACAAGTCCATTAACCTCTCTAATACACTGGGGAAAGCTTGCAAGGTGGAATAGCCTACCGTACCAATGAGAAAACTGATGCCCTAAGAAGTTCCAGAACTTGCCCTGGGTTTCCTTTTACATGATTAGAGGAGCCAGGAATCAAACCCCAATTTTCTAGGCCTAAATCAAGAGGATAACTAGAAAGATTGTTCCAGTAACCTCAGATGGCCAGAAGATGGAGGGTAGTAGGCTCTTTGGCACCAGCAGGTTGGTGGCCTAACAATTGAGAGACATGCCCTAGAAGTGGCTACCAGGCTTCCTTCCTATAAGGACACATGCTCTTCCTGTGTCCATCCTTCTAGCAGTCCATCTTAACATCACCATTCTTTCTACTGCAGCTTCCCCCATCCCTGGCTTCAGTGCAGTGGTGGTCAGCTCAGTGCCCCTGGGGGGTGGGCTGTCCAGCTCCGCATCCTTGGAAGTGGCCACGTACACCTTCCTCCAGCAACTCTGCCCAGGTACCACATAGGCCCTAGCCCCAGCCCAGCCCTCCTTGCCTGAGTCTCTGGTCAGAACTCTTCCCATGTTGTGGTTTAGGGAGGGGGGGAGTGGGGAGTCTCCACAGAGTGTCATTGGAGCTATACTGCAGCTCCCATGTGGCCACTTCTTGTGTTCCTCCTGGGCCCCGGCTTCCCTACTTCACCCTATGCCACAGACTCGGGGGCAATAGCTGCCCGGGCCCAGGTGTGTCAGCGGGCCGAGCACAGCTTTGCAGGGGTGCCCTGTGGCATCATGGATCAGCTCATCGCACTGCTGGGGCAGAAGGGCCACGCGCTGCTCATTGACTGCAGGTCAGGGGCTCCCCTTGTACCCTCCCACCTCATAATCAGGAGTTCCTAGGTGGAGCATGCCTACTGCCTGGCCTGGCAAGCAGATCCTTGGCCTTGTCATCTTCCCTAATCCAACTCCACACTAGGTCCCTGGAGACAAGCCTGGTGCCACTGTCGGACCCCAAGCTGGCTGTGCTCATCACTAATTCCAACGTCCGCCACTCCCTGGGTTCCAGCGAGTACCCCTTGAGACGACACCAGTGTGAAGAAGTGGCCAGGGCACTGGGCAAGGAGAGCCTTCGGGAGGTGCGGCTGGAGGAGCTGGAGGGTGAGAACATCAGTCTTTTCTAAATATGGCTGGGCTCCCTGCTGCTCTCTTATGGCCTTTACTCTGCTGATTTTCAGGGCCATTTGCCATGCTCTGCCCTCTTCCCCCAAAGCACTGCAAGTCTAGGGCTCCAGCCTCATCACGGATGCTTAAAATCATTTTTCTTTTTATCCCTTCAGTGCTAGGGATTGAACCCAGGGGTGCTCTGCCACTGAGCTATATCCTCAACCCTTTTTAAAAAAATTTCCTTTGAGACAGGGTCTTACTAAGTTGCTGAGATTGGCCTTGAACTTTTGATCCTCCTGCTTTAGCCTCCCAAGTCTTTGGGATTATAGGCGTGTGCTGGCTGAAAACCAGGGCCCCACATGTGCCAGGCAGGTGCTCTACCACTGAGTTAACACTCCCAGCCCTCTTTGAAATCTTAAGATTGCTTTTTTGCATCCTCTTTTTTTCTTTTTTGGCGGGGGAAAGTGGGGGGTACCAAGATTGAACACAGGGTGCTTTACCACTAAGCCACATCTCCATCTTTTTAAAAAAGATTGTAATCCCAGCGGCTCGGAGGCTGTGGCAGGAGGATCATGAGTTCAATGCCAGACTAGCAATGGTGAGGTGCTAAGCAGCTCAGTGAGACCCTGTCTCTAAATAAAATACAAAATAGGGCTGGAGATGTGGCTCAGTGGCTGAGTGCCCCTGAGTTCAATCTTTGATACCAAAAAAAAAAAGATTTTTTTATTTAGAGACAGGTTCTTGCTAAGTTGGTTAGGGCCTCATTACTGAAGCTGGCTTTTAACAGCCAATCCTCCTGCCTCAGCCTCCCAAGCCCCTTGGGATTATAGGCATGTGTCACTCTGTCCAGCTTTTGTGTCCTCTTGAAGGTTGCACTGTGTTCCACTCACCTTTTTTTTTTTTTAAGAGAGAGAATTTTTTTTTTTTTTTAATATTTATTTTTTAGTTTTCCGGCAGACATAACATCTTTGTTTGTATGTGGTGCTGAGGATCAAACCCGGGCCGCACATATGCCAGGCGAGCATGCTACCGCTTGAGCCACATCCCCACTCACCTTTAAAGCCCCAAGAGTCCAGGTGGGAGTTTGGTGCTTAAACAGCTGATTATTGAGTACCTACCATGCCAGCTCCCTGCAGGAAGCCCTGTGCAGTCTCCTGCAGTCCTCCCCGCTCCCTGAGTGACAAAATGATACAGTTGTCCCATTTTTCAGTGAGGAGGGGAGGCTCTGAGATGAGGGAGCTCTTCAGAGCCAGGCCTGGGGTAATCAGCCTTGTCCTGCCTAGCAGGGCCCTCTTTGACAACCCTGGGGCCCTCAGGAGTGGGAGGTGGGACTGCTGACCGCTGTTCCTCCCCAGCTGGCAGAGAGCTGGTGAGCAAGGAGGGCTTCCGCCGGGCACGGCATGTGGTGGGTGAGATCCGGCGCACAGCCCAGGCAGCAGCTGCCTTGAGCCGTGGGGACTACAGAGCCTTTGGCCGCCTCATGGTGGAGAGTCACTACTCACTCAGGTGAGGCCCTAGGGCAGCCTGCACCTCTTGGGCACAGGTGGGTCCCAGGCTGACCTCTTCTATATGGTCCGCAGGGATGACTATGAGGTGAGCTGCTCTGAGCTGGACCAACTGGTTGAGGCTGCACTGTCTGTGCCTGGGGTTTATGGCAGTCGCATGACAGGTGGTGGCTTTGGTGGCTGCACAGTGACACTGCTGGAGGCCTCTGCTGCTTCCCGCACCATGCAGCACATACAGGTTAGTAAGCACCAGAGCCTTGGAGGGCAGGAGAGGTGGATTCCCAGGGTTCCACCATTGCTCAGACTGCTCATCTCTCCCCCAGGAGCAGTACAGTGGTACTGCCACCTTCTACCTCTCCCAGGCTGCTGATGGAGCCAAGGTGTTGTGCCTGTGAGGCACCTCTGGACAGCATATGCAAGCATTGGCCGAGGTGGCAGGTCATGCAGCTCTGTGTCTGGCCCCACCTTCCTCATTTGGGTGCTTAATAAACATGCCTCTGACTGTGGTACTGTCCTGCTTCTAGAGGTAGGTATGTGCTTAGGGGTCAGAGAAGGGGAGGTTGTCAGAATCACTGCTCTGCCCGGCTGGCACTTTTTGGGCTCCTGAGGAACAGATAGGACAGAGTCAAGCAGTAGCAAAATTTTTTATTTAGTGCAGAACAAAGGCTGGGTCCTTGTCCTGGTCCCAGCTCTTTGGTTACAAATAAGTTTGGGCCAGCATGGGGCAGGGACAGCCAAAGGGCCTTCTGAGACCTCTGCCCCCTTCGTGCTTCCTACAGGATACCTGGCCCCTGCTCTATGGCAAGAGGTGCTGGCTCTGTGGTCAGCATGAAGGTGGGGCTGGGCCCCAGGTTGGGGTCCAAGGATGGAGTGGCTGAGGGAGTGCTGGAAAGAAGAGGCAGGGAGGGAGCCCAGGTTCCAGAACACTGGTGAGGTTGGTGGGTCATGTTTGGTAAAACTGTTGGTCCACCTGGGCGTTGAGGGTTCCACTGGTAGTCAATGTCCGGCTCACAAATTCCTGGGTCACGTGCCGGGTGAGAGAGCCACTTGTCTCTAGGTGCTGGGACCCCAGGGTCAGTCCATCTGTGGGAGAAGAAGTTTGAAGGATGCTGCGTGGTCCCTGCCCTTCCATGTTGGCTACGCTCCTGGGAGCCAGGATCCCCACCTCCTGGTGGTAACTCACCCATTAGGAAGGGCTCAGTGGTGCTGGTGTGGGTGGTGGTGATGCTGCTGTACTCGCCTTGCAGTGGGTGCTGGAAGAGCCCGGAATGGGTGCCCAGCTGTGGGAAGGGACCTGGAGAGGGTAGGTTGGCCTGTTAGGGGATGGCAGGAGAAGCCGTGACCAGAGAAGAGTTGGGGTAAAGAAGAGATGCCCCACCTCCATCCTGGGACTCAATGGTGATGATGCCTTCACGCTCTGGCCCGAAGCCCTCGGTAGTCCTGGCCTGCACCTTGAACTTGTAGGGCACGTTCTCACTGAGGCCAGGCACGGTCAGCCGGCTCTCAGGGTTGTCTCCATCCACCCGGAATGTAGTGGCTGGCCCTGCATGGGAGGATGTCTTCAGTTCCTGTGGTCCCTTCTCCACTACTCCACAGGCACCCCTAGCCTCAGGGTGGGCAGTACCTCCTCCTTGGGCCATCTCACAGGTCACCAGATAGCCGAGGATGTCACCATTGGGCCTCCGTGGCCGCTCCCAGCTCAGCTGCAGTGAATCGGGGCTCAGGGCAGTGAACACCAATGGGCCTGGGGCACTGGGGGTGCTCAGAGTGAAGGCAGATCCTGGAGGCAGCAGAGAGAATGTCAGTGTGTGGGAGTGTGGTGGGCATGGTGGTAGCTGTGGGGGACCACTCACCTGGCAGGGGGCAGAGTGGGCTCTGCGGGTGCACCTGTGATTCAATGGTGATGACACCCTCACGCTCTCGGCCCCAGCCCTCCTGGCTCTGGGCCCGCACACGGAACACGTAGGAGTGGTTGGGCAGGAGGTCTTCCACCACCACAGAAGTTTGGCCAGGGTTGGGGATGTTGAGCCTGTGTAGCTCGCCTGGAGGTTGGGTGAGGGCAGACAGCAGAGCAGCTTTACCCCAACCCTGTCCTGATCCCCACTTCCCTAGGCTGCCATCAACATCTGGCCCAGGGCTGCCTGTGGGCGGGTACAGTGTGATAAGATTGGTTGTTAAGGTTGTGCACTATACAAGAGATGAGTGGAGCCTGCAGTCCCACCCATCCTACACCCTTGTCAGGGGTCTAGGTCAAGCCACTGCCTAGTCCCACAAAGGTCACACAGACCAGGGAAGGCCTTGGTCCGTGAGGCCTTGTTAGGGAAACCCTAGCAGAGGAAATAGGCAGAGAGGTGCAGGGAGATGGATGAGACCTCAGGTGAGGGAACGAAGGGGAATGGAGTGAGACCCTCAAGAAGACTGGAGGTGGGCTTATGCACAAAGCCTTGGGTAGGTTCCTGACCCCACTGGGGTGCTCAGCATGGGCCCAGGCCTGGAAGGTCCCCACCCCTGCAGGCAGCAGTAGCCCCGCCTCACCGCCATTCAGCAGCTGGTACTCCACACTGTAGCCCAGTAGCAGGCGCTCACACTGAGGCTCCTGCCAGCTCACTTTCAGAGATGTGGGTCCCAGGGCGGAGAACACAAGGCGGGTGGGTGTGTCAGGCACACCCATGGCACCTCGAGAATCTGGAGACAGGACATCACAGTCAGGGGAAGGAGCTGGGATCTTCCTGCTGTCACAATTCTACCCCCTCAGGTAGCCAGGCAGCTTGTACCCAGAACCTTCCACGGGTCCTTGGATTAGTTACAGACCCCGCCTATGATGAAAGAGGGTCACCCTCTGAGTCTGCCACCTCCCACCTTGCCTCCCTGCTTAGCTGGCAGGGCCCCTCTCTTTGACCCACCCCAGCCCACACCCTGGCAGGACAGAGGCCATGTTAGGCATCAGCACTGATGAGTGTGGGGCAGGGGTTAGCTCCTCTGGGAGGGCAGGGTCCTGTGAATGGAATGAGGCCAAGGTGGTGGATGGGCACAGGCAGCAGCTGCGATGGATGGCAGATGGAGCAGGATGGCCACCCCGGAACTACCTGGGCCCCAGAAGGGTGCTGCTGGCTGCCCAGCCAGGATTATAGAATCTCGTGAGCCCCTGGAGGGGGGGAGCCCCTTCATCTGAGCCCGACTCCAGGACCCCAGGGCCCAGGACAGCGGAAGCCTGCTCCTCCCGTCTTCCCAGATGGGAGGGAGGCCTAGGGCAGGACAAAACAAGGAGTGAGAGGGACAGGATGTGGAGGGTGGGCAGTGGGGGCCAGCGGCCCAAGCCTCCAGGAGCTGGAATGGAGGTGATGAACAGGCGAGGCAGGATTGGTTGAGGTTGCTCACCCTGGGAGGAGAGGGAGGTGAGGGTGGAGTAGTCTCTGGGCAGTGTGGACGACTGTGAGTGCTGTGTGCGGGTCAGCGAGTGGTAGTCCCGAGTGAGGGTGGAGGAGGTGCTCAGCACACGGTGGGGCAGATGTGGGCTCAGGTGGGTGCCATAGGTGGCATTGGCCGCTGTCATCCTGTGTAGGGAGTTGGCACTGCCTGGGAAGGCAAAGTCCATTCGACCATTCACCAGGTGCTCTGCAGGAGGAGAGAGGGTGGGTCAGTCAGACCTGGAGGCCTAAGGGGCAGGATGTGGACCTGAGGATTCCTGGGGTTCCCTTCCCTCTGGGGAGCCTGGGAATAAAATACCACCAATATCCCCCAAACTACCATGTTAGGGCCCCTATGTCCCCAGAGGAGTCTCGAAGGCCACATGTCCTCTATCTCTGTGCCATGGATTATCAGAGCACAGCCAACCCAGCTTGGGACCTGCCTGGCCTTCCAGGAGAGCCCAAAGCCTGTCCTCAAATCCTGGAGGTCCCTGAGGGTCTTCCCCTGACACAAGTTTCTGAAGCTGGCTGCCCCAGTTGGGGTAGGCATCATGAGAATCACTTCCTGTCCTGCCTCCGGGGGCGCCCAAATGCCTGCCCTGGGCATCCCTTGGCTACCCGGTGCTGTGTGCACACAGTTGCAGGCCCCTGGCCTGGCCTGGCATCTTGATGAGCAGCCTGGCCGAAGCTGGGGCCCTGGGGCAGCAAGTGACGGCCCCAGGTCCCAGCCGGCGTGCGCAAACGAGCCGGCACAGGCCGTGCGCAGCCCAGGAAGGTGGTCACCTCCGGGGGGCCGGGGCGTCGCGCTGCGGGCCCGGCTGCTGCCCTCCCCGGCCGCGCTCCCCGCGCCGCCGTCGTCAGAAGAGCGCCCGCTGCTGGCCGACAGGCGCGGGATGAGCTCCGGGGGCAGCCGCCACGTGACGTGCCGCAGGTCCAGCTCCTCCCCCAGCAGGGGCTCGAACTTCCAGCCGCCGCCTTGGGAACAACGAAGGGCCGCGTTGGCACCGCCGGGGGCGCCGGGGTTGGTGGCGCCAAGGAGGACCGAGCCAGGCCAGCGGCAGAGCCCGGCGTCAGGATTGGGTGTCCCCGTGCTGCAGCGATGGGAAAGCCCGGCGACAGGAGAAACCCTTGTCCTGATTCCGAATAGGGTCGTGTAGTTTTGGCCACAGCTCGGGAGGAAAGACCCGGTACCAGCCACAGACCTTGTGGATGGAGCCTCGGCCCTGTCTCCCGCTGTGAGGTTTCCCTTGTTGCTTAAATGCCCTGAGCTTCAGTTTCCGGACTGTGCAAAGAAGAGTAATCTTTCCCCTGCCGCCTCCCAGGGACAGTTCCAGAAGCCCCAGGATACTAATAGTAGACCCTCAAAACCATACTCTCTGGAAGATCCCATCCTGGCATTGTATGATTGACATTCCATTTTACAGATCAGACATCAGGCACAGAGCAGGTGTGTGTCCCACAGTGGAGCCAGAGCTAAAGCTGCACCCAGGAGTCCCTGCTAAGGGCTCTTTTTGCAATATACTGTGCCAGGAGTCAAGCGGGAGAACCGGGCCTGCTGGGGCATCTCTGCCTCATCAGCTGGCCCCACCCCTGTGAAGTGGCTGCTCAGGGCTCCTGGTCTGTGCCTGCCCCCTCTCACTGAGGCCTGCCTCTGGGAGGAGTCCTAACTCCATTACGCAGCAGGTTAACCTTTGGATCACAAAGTAGTATTTCCAGTGCATAATCCACATGTATGTGCCCAGGCCTGTGTGCATCTGCCCCCAGCAGACATCTGTGTGTTCTCACACATGGTAGTGCACATGAATTCAGTGGGCCACAATAGCTGTGCCCTCTCCATGTCCCCAGTGCCAAATCATGGGCTCTGTGGATATATATGTCTGAGGCTGAAAAGCGACTTCTAGTGTTGACCTCCATGCCCAGTAGTTGCTGGCCACTTTACTCTCTCTGGACACCAGGGACAGCCCTACCCCATGCCCATCACCCCCACTGTCTTTCATGGATCCCACTCACCGGTGTCATCAGAGATGCTGGGCCTCTGACTGCCTGCTGGGGAGCGCAGAACATCGTCACTGTACATAAGGAAGCTTTCATAGTCTTCC